GGGTGTGTGGGTGTTTGTGTGTGTGTGTGTGTGTGTCTGTGTGTGTGTATTCCTAAATATAGCCTGCTCAGTCTATACAGTGTTACTTGTATATATGCTTTCAGGGCTGACCTTTGGTATTGGACAACCAGTTGCTGTGCTCTTTCCTCAAGGAGACTATTTTCCCACTTCCAGCATACAGTATTTCAAGAGTGTTCCACCACAGGAGTACTACGAGGCACTCTTCTGTTTGCCACACAAAGACAACCTCCTAATTCAGAAAAACACTTTTCTCAGGATATGGATTCTGTTCCTTGGAAGTAGTTTTAGGGTGGCAGAAATGTGCTGAATGGCAGTGTTCTCCAGACAGACAAATGGGTGTAGTCTCACTCTTACCTGCTTGAACAGCTGAAGGTTAACTGCAGTTTCCAGGAACTGTTTCATCACACTTGAGCGGTGCTTTACAAAGCTCTCCTCACAGAAGGTGATGGGCTCACCCTAGACAGAAGGAAAGATATTGGGGACATCAATAAAAGGTTACTCACAGAGAACTAGTCTTTTTAGGAGACACATTGAGGGTCACCGGGGCATATGAGATACAAAATCAATCTAATCCTACATAGTTGCCCAGGCTAGTAGGAATAGCTTGTACTGAAAACCCCATGCATCAGGCCCCTGAGACTCTTAAAACTGTTCCATTTCACTACGTCAGAAAAGAGTAAGTCCCCTCAACACAAAGATTTGAAGCCATTAGATTGAATTTTAGATATAAAAAATATCATGTACACTTGAAAAACTTGGAAAAACAGTCTATAATCCCTTTTCTTGATGATTAAACAAAATTCTTTTTTTTTCCAAGTCAGATTTCTTCTTTGTTATTAAGCATGACTTTTTTGGTTGCATGTATGTATGCTTGATACTTTTCAAAGTCAGAGGAGGTCATCAGATACTCTGGATCTGGACTTACAGATGGTTGTGAGCCATCATGTGGATTCTGGGAATAGAAAATGGGTCCTCTGCAAGAGAAGTCAGTGCTCTTAGCCACTGAGTCATTTCTCCAGCAGGAACAAGATTCTTGCTGTAAAGCCTGCTGCCTGATTTTCGTTACTTACATTATACATGATCACTGGTTGGTTTTCAAATAATGGAAGTTTTTATAATCAATCCTAACTCTACGTTCTGGGGTAAGTTCCACTTGGCAATGGTCTTTGTGCTGAACAAGCATATCTCTAAAGTTCTGATGGGTATATCTGAAGATGCTGCTTCTCTCCATGAACAAGGACTTCTCACACTATAGACTGCTCTTGCTCCAGTTACTCTCATATAGCTGCAGAGTCATCACTTACTAGCTGATTCCTCCCAATGCCGATCCTCCAACATTTCAACAGTCCATTGGCCTACTTGATAAATATACAAAGAAGTGATGATATTTCACGGTCAAAATGAAAGTGGAGACTAACGACAGTTAGTTTGCTAGAATTAATTTTGTGGCAATCCTTATATTGGCAGTAAACAATTAAAAAGTATGCTAGAATTCTGAAAAAAACTATCAATTATAATTTAATTGTTAAAAAGACTCAAGAGCTCTGATTATAGGAATCTGTAAGTAAAATGCTAGAAATTGGTTCTGGCATGGATAAAAGTATTGAGTGCCTTCATCCCAAATTTGAATGAAATGGCATGGAAAAGGAACTTTGGTGGAATCATTTTGTAAAATTTCACTTGTGGGTTCTATGTATGTGCCTGTGATGTACGAGACAGATGCTAGGCTGTCAGGTGTCTTCATCTATTGCTTTTCGCCTTTCAGTCAGAATCTCTCACTGAACCTGGAGCTTATTGATCTCCATGCTCCCCAATCCCTAGATCACAAGCTAGGATGACAGGTGCAACAAATGCAAATTTTGACTGAATGCTTAGGATCCGAACACAGGTCATTATGCTTGTGCACAAAGAACTTCACCTTCAAGCCTCCACTAACCATACCGTGTCTGCCTTGTCAGAGTCCAGAAGTAACACAAATAATCAATGGTAGCCTGGAAGCTTCAAAATGATAAGCCAAAAGAAAACATTTTGATTTTAACATTTCTTTCTTTAAGTGTACAAATATATGTATTTATGTGAGCGGTGTATACTCAGAGCAAAAGACAGTATCTGAGGCACTGGAGCTGGAGGTGCAGATGGTTGTGAGACACCATGTAGTTATCTAGAATCAAACCCTGCTCCGATGCAAGGAAAACAAGTGTGCTTAGTTGTTGAGCACCTTCTATAATCCTAAGATGCTTTTCTTTAGAGGCTGTCATCTAGCTGGGCATTGCCATTGTGAGGAGGTTACCACCTAAGCACTTACTACACTCCTGTCACTGTTCAGAGCACATTACATAAGTGAAAACAATTTACTATGTGCTAAGACTTAGACCTGAAATGTCCCCAAGATACTCAAGGGTTGGGATATTTAGTCCCCAGGTGATTATACTGTTATGGGAAACATGAGAACCAATGGGATCTGTAACCTAGAAGAAGAAGGAAAGTGTAGGCAGGCCCTGAAGATGTAATTTTTCTCTAATTTTGGTCAAGTTCAGTGTTTGCTTATCTTCTTCCAGTACACATCTAGGCAGCCATGATCTCACTATGTCTTGCCAGGCATGTTGAATTGAAAGTATGAGCCAAAAATCTTTGCTTCCTCAAGTTTCTTCTATCAGATTATGCCACGGCAATGAGTAATGTAGTAAATACAAAAATCAGAACTGGGAGGTAGAGTCTTTCATGTGATAATCATGACGATGTGGCTCTTAGGCCTTCAGAGCTAATTTGCAGAAAGAATGTGGAAGTGTTTGTTTCTATAGGCTACAGAAGCCCTAAAACAATATAAGCAGGCTTTTCTGGGTGATTCTGGTAAGCATTTAGGAAAACCAGAATGTGAACAAAAAAGCAGACAATAATGATTATATTCAAAATTCCAAAATGAAGAATGACTCTATTAACATTTGGGCCAGAGCCCAACGCTGTATCTGGCAAATCCTCTTAAGACTGCATATGTCTTAAGAACTGAGTAAGGATGAATTCAATGCAATGGACTGACTTGCAGGGCAGAGGAAATTTTAAGACGGCATAGAATAAAGGATGTAGCATACTGAATCTTGAGGGCTTTTAGCTAGGTTAATACTAAAAATTCTGAGCAAAACACAGAGCACGAAATGTAAACAAGGTGTAACCTGCCAAGGATGTAGATGGGTTGATTGAGTACTTGATTAGCTACATTGAAGCCCTAAATTCCATCTCCAGCACCACATAAACTGGTGCTAAGACCTATAATCTCAACACTTGGGAGAAGAATTCTGTAGGATGAGAAGTTCAGAGTGGTGGAAGGCATGAAAGTTCTTGTGCTCACAGATAAGCACTAGGGGAATCAGGGATATTAAACACACAGGGATGTTGTGGTGGTTTAAATAGGTTTAGCTCCCATAGACTCATGTGTTTGAATGTGTGGCCCATAGGAAGTGGCACTACTAGGAGGTGTGGCCTTGTTAGAGTATGGGTGGCCTTGGAGGAAGTGTGTCACTGTGCAGGCAGGTTTTGAAATCTCACATATGCTCAAGCCATGCCCAGTGAGACAGTTTTCCTCCTGCTGCCTGCAGACCAAGATGTACCACTCTTAGCTCTTTTTCCAGTACCATGTCTGCCTGCGGTCATGGTATCTCCTCATGGCAATAGAAACCCTAACTATGCAGAGATGTTTCTTCAAAGAGAGAGATGTATATATAGCCTATTTTTCACCAGAAGGCTGGGACCAGAAGTGGTTAATAGTCTGGTGACCTTTGCGCTGTGTGGCCAAGCCGAGATTCTCCCCCAGATGCTTATCATGACCCTGTCAATTTATAGTAGCTATCTTTATGGAAGATGCTACCTGTACTTTACAAAGAGTTTCAATGTAGTCATGTCTTCAGTTTGGCTGTGCACATGGGATTGAGTTAATTGTTACTAGGAAACTTTTCACCAAATTGTGTTTTTCTTAAATATGCCTAAAATAAATTACTCAGAGGTCAGATTCCCAAAGTCTGAACCAACACTAGCTACTGAGTTGGGATGAACCAACCTGTAACCTTACCTCCTGAAGATCATAAATAACTGTGCTGGCTGTGGTGCTTACAAAGACACACACAGCATTCCCCACTCCCACCCCCAATGTGTGCTATCATCTTTGGCTATATAATGATTTTTGAGGCCAGCCTGGGCTGAGGAGCCTTTCTTGAGGAGAGAAGACAAAAGGAGGGGAGGGGAGGATAAGGGAGGGCAAAGGAGGTGAGGCAAGAGATCAAGAGCAAGTGTATGCTTTGCACAGGCACCTTGAGAACAAGACTTCCCCCATCACAGGGTCCACACTCACCTGAAAGACTCTCATTTAAAAGGAGAGTGTCTGAAAAATGAGTGCCTGAATGTAGAATGTTCCTACTGGGCATCTTGCTCAAAGCCACCATTGCCGTGCCAGGTTCAGTCATATGGGCATTTAGTGATCACTGCAACAACAGCTCATATAGCCCCAGATATATCTTATACTGGCAGGAGAACTGATATCAACCACAAGGTACTGATTATGAAGACATGATTAATGTAAAAATTATAGGGATGGAGGCTTGCACCAAGGTCTAGGAAAACAACCAGTAAAGACAGGCAATTTGTAGCCAAGTTGGATTCACTGTAGCCAGGATGCAATGGAGTCTAGGGAATAGATGTCAAGAACATAGGATTTCTTCTAGGGAGAGCTATAAGCACTGACAGGAAGTGGTATGAGAGAACCTATATATGTTACAGGTAATAGATAAACAGAAATGGGACTACCTAAGGCACTGGAGCCCAAGTAATGTCAACACTAGCCCACATATGTCAAACATGGAACTTCAGGTTAAGTGGTCACCCTGATGGATTCTATCTTTTTTTATCCAGAATTTCTGTATAATCATTCCTCCATTTTGGAATGGGAACAATTATTTTTGTGTTGTATACTGGAAATGTAGAGGTTGGCTTTTCTTTCACGGTGGCTCATATTTAACAGTTTAGAGACTTTGGAATTTGGGCTTTTAAACAGTCTTGAGACTGGTAAGAACATAAGAACTCGGAAGCTGAATTAAGTGGTTGGTACCTTATCATACAGCTGTGTACTCTGGGGGCCATAGGTAACATGATATAGTCTAATCTAAACTACCCCCTACAGACTCATTTGTTTGAGTACTTTATCTTCAGCTGGGGGGGAGCTCTTTATAGAAAGTTGTATAATCTTTGGGATATGAGACCCAGCTAGCAGAAATGGGCCTGGGTAAATTTGCTTTTGATTCAAGCCTAGTTCTTTCCTTGTTTACAAAATATAAGGCGTCTGCTACATACATCCTTGTCATGAATTCCACCACTTACTTTCCATCAGGCCAATATTTCTTTTATAAGTTATTTCTATTCTTTATTTTGTCACAGCAAGAACAGTAACTAACATCCTGTACAAACAGCCC